TTACTCTAGTACCAAAACCTGAGAAAGACCCAACTATAAAAGAGAACTATAGACCGATCTCCCTAAAGAACACAGATGCAAAAATTCTCAATAAAATATTGGCAAATAGGATCCAGCAAATCATCAAGAAGATTATACAACATGACCAAGTGGGATTCATCCCAGGAATTCAAGGATGGTTCAACATACGCAAATCAATAAATGTAATCCACCATATCAATAAAGCCAAAAATAAGAATCACATGATCATCTCTATAGATGCAGAAAAAGCCTTCGATAAGGTCCAACACTTATTCATGATAAGAACTCTAGAGAAAATTGGAATAAATGGTCTTTACCTCAATATAATAAACGCCATTTATGACAAACCAACAGCCAGCATCATACTAAATGGCCAAAAATTGAAAGCCTTTACTTTAAAATCGGGTACAAGACAAGGATGTCCTTTATCACCACTCCTATTTAATATAGTACTGGAAGTACTAGCCAGAGCAATTAGGCAAGAAAGAGAAATAAAAGGGGTAAAGATAGGAAAAGAAGAAGTTAAATTATCATTGTTTGCAGATGACATGATACTCTACATAGAAGACCCCCTAAACTCCATTGAAATACTCTTAGATACAATAAATAAATTCAGTAATGTGGCTGGATACAAAATCAATACTCAGAAATCAATAGCATTCCTATACACGAACAACAAAATTACAGAGAGGGAAATAAGAGAAACTGGACTATTCACATTAGCAAGCAAAAAAATGAAATATTTAGGAATTACTCTTATGAAAGAAGTGAAAGACTTATACAGTGAAAATTATAATACACTGAAAAAGGAAATTGAAGATGATCTCAGAAAATGGAAAGACATCCCTTGCTCATGGATAGGAAGAACAAACGTTGTGAAAATGGCCATTCTCCCAAAACTGTTATACAGATTCAATGCAATCTCAATAGAAATACCATCAACATACCTTATAGATATAGAGAAATCACTCCTAAATTTCATCTGGAACCAGAAGAGACCTAGAATAGCAAAGGCAATTCTAAGCAGCAAAGACAAAGCAGGAGGCATCACAATCCCTGACTTGAAGTTATACTACAAAGCAACAGTAGTAAAATCAACATGGTATTGGAATGAAAACAGAGCTGAAGATCAGTGGAATAGATTAGAAGATACAACCACAACTACGAACACACTCAACCACCTTATTTTTGATAAAGGAGCCAAGCAGGTTCACTGGAAGAACGACAGTCTCTTTAATAAATGGTGCTGGAAAAACTGGCTCTCCATTTGCCGAAAACTAAAGCTAGACCCATGTCTATCACCATGTACTAAATTAAAATGTAAATGGGTCAAAGATCTGAATATTAAAACAGAAACACTAAATCTATTGGAAGACAAAATACGTAGAAACCTTGGAGACATAGGAGTAGGTAAAGAATTCATGAACAGGACTCAAACCGCACGGGAAATACTTCCCAGAATCAATAACTGGGACCACTTCTTATTAAAAAGTTTCTGCACGTCAAAAGAAATCTCCAGCATAGTGAAAAGAAAACCCACAAACTGGGAAAAGATTTTAGTGAACTCTCTCTCAGACAAGGGCCTCTTGTCTAAAACATATAAAGAATTAAAGAAACTCAGACCTCCGAAATTCAAAGATCCAATCCAAAAATGGGCATCTGAGATGAATACACACTTCTCAGATGAAGAAATGCAAATGGCAAATAAATACATGAAAAAATGCTCATCATCATTGGTCATTAGAGAAATGCAAATTAAAACCACACTGAGATACCATCTCACTCCTGAAAGAATGGCCAGGATCAAGAAAACCGACAACAAATGCTGGAGAGGCTGTGGGGAAAAAGGAACTCTCCTGCACTGCTGGTGGGAGTGTAGACTGGTACAGCCTTTGTGGAGATCTGTCTGGAGATTTCTCAAAAAGTTGGGACTGGAAATCCCATTTATTCCAGCTACTCCACTTCTAGGCATATTCCCAGAAGAACTGAAAGCATCATACCCCAGTGATATATGTGCACCTATGTTTATAGCAGCACAATTTGTAAATGCCAGATCTTGGAAACAACCCAAGTGCCCATCAACTGAGGAATGGATAAAAAAGTTGTGGTATTTCTATACAATGGAGTATTATTCAGCTATAAAGAAGGATCACATTGAGATATTTATCAATAAATGGGCGCAGCTTGAGACCATACTCATTAGTGAAATAAATCAATCTCGCATGTGTGAATACCGAATAGTTTCCCTAATGTAAATAATGATTCAAATATATAAAAATATGTGGTAATCATGATTCCCCATTAGGTGGCCTTGAAGCCTTATAAAGTTTTCACTCATTAATTAGAAAGGCTTTATTCTGGGCTTCTTGATATGAAAATATTTGAAGCTAGAGTATATGAAGTTTTATCCAAATATTTCAAGGAAAAAGACACTATGGTAACTACTATTAAGTCAGGTTATAAGGTGGTGAAGTACTAGGTTGTTGAAACAGTTATGCTGTGACCTCTATTGTTATATTGTTATGTCCTGTTTTATCTCAATCTCCCCCTTATTGTTTCAAAAAAATTATTTAGTCATTTCTTATGTTTGTCTTAATTAAAGAAAAAATTAAAAAAAATTAGGATATATAAATAGTAACTCTTTTCGATTTCCTATTAACTTGTTTTGAAGTCCTGTAGTACTCCCACGATCTTGTTTTGACTGATTAGACTCTGTTCCATTCTATATGATAGTATCAAGTTTGAAGACATAGGCAACTACTTTGAAGACAATAAGATTCACTAAGATACCCATTCTGGTTTGACTATTGTCTTCTTTGGAAGTCCTGTAATGTTTACATTGCCTAAGTTTTATTGGTCTTGTTCTCTACTGTTTTGTCCAACTTTATAATATCTAATAAGATAGACAATTCTTTTTAAGGAAACAAGGGACAACGTTGATAACCATTGTTGATAAACTTGTACTCTGTTCTACACCATGTGCTATGTCTATCCTTGGTATTGACTGACAGCTTTGTTTTGCCATATTTGACTGTATTCTTCCCCCCCCCAAGAAAGTAATAAGCACTAAGGAGTAATAAAATCCAAGATGTGTAAATTTTGTTGTAAAAAAGAGAGGGGAAAAAAAAAAGAAAAAGAGCTCTAACGGATATAACAGCAAGTGTGTTTGGGGGTGTTAAATAGCTGACTTTATCAATGTTTTTGGAACATTGAACACAGCTGTTTGCAGTCTCCCTGTTTGAATGTCCACCTTGTGTTCTTTGATACTGTGATTTGAGGAACTATTTTCAAGAAGATAGTGTGTAATCTACTAGCAGGTAATTTCTTACTGTTATGTTTTTTTGTTTTGTTTTGTTTTGTTTTGTTTTGTAGTTCTGTATTGCGTGTACCCTTACGCCGCTTTGGTTTGTTTTGTGTTTTTCTCTTTTTCCTCTTAAATAAAAAAAAAAAAAGAATACAGCTAAAAAGATTCAGTCATGGCCTAAGGGTAAGAAATTGAACAGGCTGCTGTGTTAAACATCTTCCAGTAGATGGTGAACAACCCCACATTAAACAAAGAGTGGTGCTTTCCTGTGAGGGAGCCACTAAGGGAGGGAGCTCTGCCCAGCTCTCTAAGCTCACGTGGCTGGGGCTGCTGTGCACAATGGGCTGTGTCTTCCTCATCTGCCAGTTTCTTAGGATTTCCTGTTTCAATCTGTGACTGGTATTCACATGAATATGGTGAGCTACCCAGGAGGCCTCTGGTCAGCGATGAAACAGGATGGGTGACAAAGCTAGGGCCACAACTCTGAATGTGGCCAGCCATGAGTGAAACAAGAGTGAAGTGGCCTGGTGTACTCTGAGGTGGAGGTGACAGAGGCTGCAGACAGAGATGTGGGGGAGAAACACTGGAGTAGTCCCTAAGAGGAGGGCAAGGTGTATGGGGAGAGGGGTTGTTACTGCAGACCTGTTTCCTGCTGTTCTCCAGAGGCCTTGGCTCAGAAATATTCTGACCCCCAGAGATCTGCTTACCACTTTAAGTAGGTCCTGATGCTCAAATTGTTCTCAGATGATTCTAAATTATCCTGCAATGAACATCAAACACAAGAATCTGGCTGGGCATTAGAACTGTGATTGGTTGAAGACAAGCAGAAACATGCTTCTTTTTTTAAATTTTATTTAAAAGGAAAAAGAGAAAAACACAAAACAAAACAAAGCAGTGTAAGGGTACACGTATTACAGAACTACAAAAAAAAAAAAAAACAGTAAGAAATCACCTGTTAATAGATTACATATTATCATCTTAGAAATAGTTGCTCAAATCACAGTATCAAAGAATACAAAGTGGACATTCAAACAGAGAGACTGCAAACAGCTGTGTTCAATGATCCAAAAACATTAATATAGTCAGCTATTTAACACCCCTAAACACACTTGCTGTTATATCCGTTAGAGTTCTTTTTTTCCCCTCTGTTTTTTACAACAAAATTTACACATTTTGGATTTTATTACTCCTTAGTTCTTATTACTTTTCTGGGGGGGGGGAGAATAAAGCTTCTGTGTGTGCTATGGAAGCCTGGGGCTGGACAGCAGCATTGGTCAGGTCCTTCCCTGCCTGCTTAGTCATGGTGTGATAGTGAATAGATGAACCCAGAGAATTTCACAGAGTTCACAGATTCTGCTCTGTTCTTGTCTTGCCTTCTCATTTTTTATCCTGTTTGAAACAGCCCATGTGTTTCACTTCATTCTTCTTTCTCAAAGTGATCATAACATAGAACCCTGGTCCTCAAGCAAGGCGTGTTCTGTAACGTGAGAGCAGCAGTGTACTCTACACATTGGAGAGCAGCCTGATTCTGTCCTGTGGGCTTAAGGGAGAAACAGGTGCTCTGTAAGCACATCTGTGCTGCCCTGTTGTGGACAGAGTCCCCAGGGGACACTGAGCCTGTACTGCTATGAGCCAACCCACAGCTGGGCCAAAAACCTTCCAGCCCTGCTAATTTGCATATCCCAAGATCCCAGCCAGCTACATGTGGACCTATTTACAGGCTGCTGTTCTCATCCTGTGCAGCTTCAGTCCTGGTCAGGACACAGCATGGACATGAGGGTCCCCGCTCACTTTCTGGGCCTCTTGGTGCTCTGGATATCAGGTAAGAAAGGGTAGCACAAGGAATTTACTTAGTACTGAAGGTTCAAAGTTGCCTGATATTGCATCATGGGCCTGATTTATCTTGAATATCTATGTTGATATTTGTTAAGTTTCCCATTTCAGGTGCCAGATGTGACATCCAATTGACACAGCCTGCATCTGCATCTGCATCTGTGGGAGACACAGTCAAGATCAGTTGCCGGGCCAGTCAGAGTGTTAGCAGTTACTTAAACTGGTATCAGCAGAAACCAGGGCAAGCTCCTAAACTCCTGATCTATTGGGCAACCAATTTGCAGTCTGGGATCCCATCGAGGTTCAGTGGCAGTGGATCTGGGACAGATTTCACTCTCACCATCAGCAGCCTGAAGCCTGAAGACTTTGCAACTTATTACTGTCAACAGAGTAAGAGTAACCCTCCCACAGTGATACAAGCCATGACATAAACCTCCCAGGGAGGCAGAAGTGTGGGGCAGGGCTGCTGCAGTTGTTCCTCTTTGTGTCTCCAGCTGCAGACCAAGTTCTTCAGATGCATCCAGGCTCTGAATGTCACTGGAAGGATTTGGTAGACCATCCAAGAAAGCTCCTTCTTCTGCCAGCTTCCTTTTCGGCTTCTCACCCCTGATTTAATGAAAGATACCAATGAATACACTGATGTAATGCAGATTATGGCTTTATTTTGTATTTACCTGGCCACACAGATGCTATTCTTAGAATTTTAAGCAATAATTTTTAAAATCTTTTTCCACTGTTATTGATTTATTAATTAATTTTGGTTTTTTTTATTTTAAAGAGATTTTTATTTTAAAACCAAAGTACAACAGAATAAAGTTAATTCAAACAATACAATGAAATTCATACTGCACTAAAAAACAAGGTAAGAAAAATCAACAGTGGCTAACAAGATGTATCCTGTTAAATTCAAAGTAGCTTCACATAGCATCAGATGTGATAGTCAAATAAACAAAATGGAATAAAATCAAACAAAACAATAACCGATACAGAACATCAAAATAACATTATAGGATATTAGTAATGGTTGCAGACATGCCTCTTATAAATATGCATTTAGAGATCTGCATTCACAACAAAAGTTAAAGTGCAGAGATATTTTCGATGCCTCTGCCTCTACATCTGCATAGTAGATCATCACCATAAATTGCAGCTATCGCAACCCATCAAAGTAAGTTTAAGCTCAAAGTTCACAGTTCACGTTAAGTTTGACTGTTGACATTAAATATTTCAGGAAAAAAGCCAGGTGTAATGCACACGTCCAAAATGTGTTATGACACAATGCAGTTATAATACCACTGTCTCATACTTATGCATCTTCTTTATCCTCCATTTTCTGTAAAAGAATCAAGTCTTCCCTATAGTTTTTGCTTTTATGCAAAATAAAATCTTTGTAGATCACAGTATGGAAGATTTTCAAAAGCTAATTTCAAAATATACTACTATCGAACAGAAAAATAAAAATAATGAATAATACATTTTGCCACTACTGAGACTCCCTTTATAGCATCTATTGTTATCCCAAATATCCAGGAATAGTAACGTTGTTAGATGGTTTACTTTGCAATACTATGATGTTTTCATAGTACTTTCAAATGAAAATCATATAAGTAATACTAATAAAAACGATAGTCATAGCCAAACAAGCATTAGAGAATTTTTAAATAACATTTCAAAATAAATTTATTGTTTTATAAGAGGTAGGTAATTTACACTTTTTACTCTTAAAGTTTTAAGAAGTTATTGTTAAATGGAAAGGGTATCTTGCCCCTGGTTTTGTCTGACAATAGCAAACATAGAAATTGGCAGGTATTCCTTTGTCTCCCTCTAGTGGCTAAAATGAATATGTGCAGCGTTTCCAATCAGCCTCAGATGTGACTGAAAGGATGAGAAACTAGGAGGAGCCTGAGAGACCAAGCACTTTAATTTCTTCATTTTCAATGAAAAAAAAAAAAAAAAAACAAAGTCAGAATAGGGAAGTGACTTGCCCAAGACATTACAAACAGCTTAGAATAGATCTCTGATATCCTGATGGCTTCATTAATATTTCCTGCTGGGCCCAGTTCCACTCTTTTTTTTTTTTTTTTTTTTTAATTTTTTTTTTGTCTTTTTCTTTTTTTATCGGTACCGGGGATCGAACTCGCGACTGCCTGCTTGCAAGGCAGGCGCTTATGCCGCTGAGCTAAATCCCCAGCCCCCAGTTCCACTCTTTAAGACCGAATCATTCCAGCTATGTCTCTGCTTTCCCTGCCCATGACCCTTAGACCTAGTGTGTGCATGCCAGTGCGAAAGCATGTGTGCACAGGTGGGTGCCCATAAGAGTCCTTTGTCTCTAACCCCCAGCACCTCATGAGCACCTGGAGTTTTCCTTCCTATGCTTGCCCGCAAACATGCCCTGGACTCAGTCTCTCCTCTTGTAACTTCCTGGGGCTGTCACACTCCCAATATGACAGCGGCCCTTTGCCAGAGCCCTACATTCCCGTGGACAGTGAGGCTGAGTTCACCCTCCGCCAGGGCTGCGGTGCTTCTCCAGAGGCAGGGCCCTCAGGGAGAGGGTTGCATTCATTCCTTGAACCTCTGGAATCAGAGCTGGACCCATGCTTCTGAGATGGTATCAGATCACAGAGTCCCCAGCTTCGGTGGATCACATTGTGTTTGCTGACATTGCTGGCGTATGAACAGTATGCAGTCAGTAAAAACTATACTTTGGATTTTGACATTTTGTCTTTTCCTGGGCGGGCACTGTTCCATGTGATATTCTCTGCCGTGCTGAGCAGCAGCAGCTACCAATGAACCCCATGATCCAGAGGCGAAGCAACCGTCACAGCAAGGCCTGCAGTGTTTGGACATCAGGCTTTGTATTTCTGCTTCCTGTCACTTCTGTAAACCCCATCAGCATGGGTGCATGGGACAACACTTGGTTATAAAATAGGTTCCTGTTAATTGATTTTGCCCAACTGTAGGGTGATGTAGGTAACCTGAGAATATTTAAGACGGGCTAGGCTAAGTTAAGGTGTTCAGTAGGTTAGACCTACAAGATTCCATGCATTTCCCCCTTATGGTATGTTCAAAGCATAATAGAGTTGCTGAGAGGGAAGCCAGGAAGTCTCTGTACATCCATTGGATGCCAGTGAGTCACACGGAGAGACTTTCCTCAGGCCACAGTTTTCCCCACATTTTCCATTCCTGGGAATGGCCCAGTTTAGGTGAATTTCCTAGGATCTCAGATCCAGCTTCTCTCCCACAGCCCTGGGTAGAGCCTTGCCCAGCTCATAACCATGATCACCAGCAAGTGAATCTTCACATATGTCAGCCACTTGTGACCAAGAAGAATGTGAAGAGGAATGATGTGAGATTCCAGGGACTTTTCCAACATGTAAAGTTCAGACTGAAAAAAAATTAGACAGTAAAAGAAAGCAGAGTAATTAGGTAGCTAGTGGGTGAACTGAGAACAGAATCACCCAAGTGAAAGGGGAGCATTGTGGGAAGGCAGTGAGCAGCAGGGCCTGGCCCTTAAGAGGAGGTTAAAATGCTGGAGCTGGTGACCACCTAGTTAGGTTGATTCATCAGTAATAATTTATCATTTCAGTTGTGTGGTGAAGGCAGAAGACTGATTGTCATGGGCTGAACAGTAAAGGATGCAAGAAAGGGTGGAGACAGATGCAGACAACTCTTGGAAAGCAAGATGTGAAAGGAGAAAGAGAGAGAAATGAGGTGGACAGGAGGAGCTGGGAGCCAGAGGAAGGAGGGCTGACATTTGATAGGTGAAATCAATGGGTGGGAATGGAAGTCACTGCTGGGAAGGGGTGAAGGGCTAGGGCCGGGGTAAGGAAAGACGTTCTTCTGTGAGACAGAACAGGTGTGGGTGGGCAGCAGGGTCACGTCTTCATCTCCTGGATTCTCTGCTCTCCATCTTGGAAGCTCATGGGATCCTCTGGGCTTTTATTTCTCTCAAACCAATCCCACCTTATCTAGGCCGGTTGTGCTGAGTTCCAGGGAGATAGGCTAAAAAGGACTGAAGATCTGTTCCATTAAATTATGTTTTAATTGTATATTTTAATAGGATACACTGATGTTTAAACACATGTGCTAATTTCTGAGTGGCACCATCAGGAGGTTCTGTTCCACTCTGAATTCAAGAAAAAATTCACCCTTTTTTCACACAGTGCTGCTGTATTAGGATCCTGAGTATCAGGGTCATAGGGACCTGCACTGGATTCTCAGAAAATCCTGTATCATCAACACCTTCCCTGTCCACCATGCCTTAGTACTTATCTGTGACAGGGATCCTCATGGCCTTTAAAGCAATGGCTGTTGGGTGGTCTGGAGAAAATGGAAAGGACCAAATTGGAAGAATACTCACAAGACTGCCCCAATTCTCCTGGTGACCCTTCTTTGCATATCTCCTCCTCACACAACCCCCAACCTATTCTTATAAGGATCTGGAGCCTTGTTTGGTACCCAGGCTCTGCCAGCATGTTTCTGGTGGCCCCAGTGTGGCTTCTTTGGAGCCTGGCTTTCTGGGGAGCAGGTGAGGAGGGAGGGCCCAAGGAGAGGCCAGCTGAGCAAACTCTGTGTCCTTACTGAAGACAGCTCCTATTTGGTACATAAAAATGTCATGCTCTGTAAATGACAATTTCCGATTTTACCCTTTAGCAGGCAGTGGGGGTGTCACCTTGACCCAAACACCAGCCTCCTTGTCTGCATCTCCAGTAGAGACCTCTCAGTCTCCTGTCAGGCTAGTGCTGATGTATACACAGAGATGCCTTGGATGCAGATTAAACTGAGCCCAAGACTTGAGGCCCTAATATTCATATCACCACTGTGGCCCCAGGTGTCCCAAACAGGTTCAGCAGCAAAGGAAGTTGAACGAGCTATGTCTTCAGCATCAGACCTGTGGAGCCCGGGGAATCGTGAGAGTATTTCTGCATGCATGACTATGGATGGCTAGTCCACAGTGGTGCAGGCTGTGCACAAATCTCCTGCTGTGTTTCCATAGACTGGATTTCTAGAAGTCAGGCTGTACCTCGTTGATCCAGGTCCTCTTCCAGAGATACACACCATATTGAGTAGACAAAACAGTCTCTGTCTTACCTCTAGGTCATTTCCCCTTTCCTATTTTCTGTTGTATTCTAATGGTTCTGTATGTAACATACCAGGCTCTCTAGAGCTGCAGATGGCAGCTTTCCCTGCAAACCTAGAGGATCACAGAGCCTAGACCGAGCACCTCCCAGGTCAGCCTCAGAGGGTGATGGCAGGAGGACCTGCCTGCTCCATCCAGCGCTCTTGCTCCAGCTTCTGTAACCCGACTTCTGCTCCCTGTGTTTCCAGAGGGTGCAAACTGTGGCCGCTCTCATTTTAGCCTTTTCTTCCTTCTTTTCTTTTGTTTTGCTCCCTCTTTTCCTCCCTGGCTTCCTGATGGCTCACAGACATGCAGCTTGCGTGGGAAACCTTGTTGCTGGGGGAACTGAAATAAAAGAGCAAACAAATCTACATGTTGGAGGGAAACTCTCACCTGAACTTTTGCAGTTCCTTTCTTTCTTTTTCTTCCAGGGGGAGGAACTGGAAGATTCAAGAACCATTTAATTTCCTTTCCACCATGTGCTTCTCTTTCTCTCCCTTCGCAGTTTGCTGTCAGAGTTGCCTGCACCCACAGTCACCCTTTCCTTGCTGTCCTTTCTGTCTTCAACCTACTGCAACAGCCCTGTGCTTCAACTCATGAAAGCCCCTCTTAGATTAGTTTCCTTTGCCAGCCTCCCTCTGATTAAGTTGAAAAAGTGTTTACTTTTTTGTGGGTCACAAAACCAAGG